AGGGACCCAAGTACTTGGGACATTTTCTGCTGCTTTCCTAGGTGCATTAGTAGGGTTGGATTGGAAGTGGAGTAACCAGGTTTTCAGCCGGCACTCATATGGGATGCTGTTATCAAAGGTGGTGGCTTAACCTGCTATGTGACAATGCAGCCCCAAAGAACAGAAAATTTATAAACTACCTTTTAAGGGTAAAGAATATAAACAAAACAAAAAATGAAATAAAGATGATTATAAGTATCCAAAGATAATCAAAGTCAGTAATAAAGCATTGAAATTGAACAACAGACTTCTTTTTGTCCCCTTCATATTGGCACAAATCTAGGTGTGTGGTTGAAGTTAAATTTTAGGTACTTTAAGATATTTTAAATTTAATGGTAATCAATGTTAATTTTATAAATTGGAAAAGGTCTAAAATCCCGGGCCAGCGTTGAGGTGTAATGGGTTAAGCTGCCACCCGGAATGTCAGCATTGCAATCCTGGCTGCTTTCTCTCTCTCAACTCTGCCTTTCAAATAAATAAATTCTTTATTTTTTAAAAGGTAAAGAAAAAGCTCTGGAACCCAGGCTAATGAGGTATTTAATATATCCCCTTGATTTGTAGGTAGAACTTTTGTGTAGTCAAGGGAGTAGTGATGTTAGGAAGCAGTAAAGTTAATTTCCCAGGCCAGTTAGCAGACGAGGTCGAGGACTGAGGTTCCATTCTAATTGCTACTCACTTTCTTCCTGTTATAAGTCTTTGTGCCTCAGTTTCTTGTCAGGCCATTGTTTGGTTGCTTAGACCAGAAATATTGACTTGTGTTTTAGTCACTTCTGTCAGGAAATTTTGTTCAGAATATCTGTGGGCTTACCGCTTCTCACTGCCCACTCTTGGTCTAAGTGGCTATTGGATCTTCCTGGCTTGTTATAAATTGCCTCTTTGCTGATCGCCCTGCTTCTGTGCTTGCCTTTTTTTTTTTTTTTTTTTTTTTTTTTTAAGATTTATTTATTTTACTTGAAAGAATTACGGGGAGGAGGGCAGGGAGAGGGAGGTCTTCCATCTGCTGGTTCAATCCCTAGGTGGCTGCAACGGCTGGAGCTATGCTGATCTGAAGCCAGGAGCCAGGAGCTTTTTCCAGGTTTCCCATGCTGGTGCAGGGGCCCAAGGACTTGGACCATCTTCCATTACTTATTCAGGCAGAGAGCTGGATTGGAAGTGGAGCAGCTGGGTCTCAAACCTGCGCCCATATGGGATGCCGGCAATGCAGGCGGTGGCTTTAGTCGCTACACCACAGTGCTGGCCCCCTTGCCCTTTTTCTGATGCAGCAGCCAGATTGAGATTTACAAAGTATGAGCCACTTTGCTTCAAACCTGGTATCTGCCAGAAGAGTTCCCTTAGAGAGCATTGTCATTTCCTTGAAGGGAAATGGATGTTTGAGTACTAAGAACTAAATAGGGCCGGCGCCGTGGCTCACTAGGCTAATCCTCCGCCTTGCGGCACCGGCACACCGGATGCTAGTCCCGGTCAGGGCTCCGGAATCTGTCCCAGTTGCCCCTCTTCCAGGCCAGCTCTCTGCTGTGGCCCGGGAGTGCAGTGGAGGATGGCCCAAGTGCTTGGGCCCTGCACCCCATGGGAGACCTGGCTCCTGCCATCGGATCAGCGTGGTGCGCTGGCCGTAGCGCGCTGGCCGCAGCGGCCATTGGAGGGTGAACCAGTGGCGAAGGAAGACCTTTCTCTCTGTCTCTCTCACTGTCCACTCTGCCTGTCAAAAAAAAAAAAAAAAAAGAACTAAATAGATGAGGGGGAAGAAGCCCAAGATTTCTTCTCCCCTGAGAGTACACATCAAACTCCTTTAGTCCTGTCTCATATCTCAGCATTTTCTGCTTACTGAGTTCCAGCTACACTTACGTGCTTCCTAAGAATATATTTATTTATTTATTTGAGAGAGCAAAAAGGGAGGGGGTGGGGAGGAGGGAAGAGAGAGAGAGAGATTGAGATCCAGAGAGATCGAGATCGAGAGAGAGTCTCCCACAGGGTTGCAGCAATGCAAGTACTAGGGACATCATTCACTGCTTTCTCAGACACATTAACAGAAAGCTGAATCAGAAGCAAAACAGCTGAGGCTTGTGTTGCAAGTGGTGGCTTAACTCGCTGTGCCACAATGGCAGCTCTGCTTCCTTGCTATTACTTGGAGAGCCCAGGCTGTTCATTCTTTGTTGTTGCCTCAACCTAAAATGACCTTCTTCCAGATACCTGTAACAGTAGTTGCCTCCTTCAGGCTTCTGTTTCTCTGAATTTCACTTGCTCAGAGATGACTTCCTACATAAAATAGCAACCCTCCCCTCTGAACTCTAAACCCTTATCATGGTTTCTTCTCACAGCACTTACTACTCAGTGTTAAGACTTTGTTTCATTCCTAGGGAATGCCTGCCCAGCAGTTATGCATTCAATAACTTTCTTAATTGATTGGCTGAATTTCCCATTTGTTCTTTGGTGGCTTCTCGATCTGCTTTGAGAAATACTCAGGGGACCCTCATTCTTTGGCCAGAGGAAAAGAAAGACTGCCTTTGGTGTAATAAATGTGTTTACAGAGGCTTCTAAGTAACCTTAAAATATATTTATTTGACGGGCAACGTGACAGAGAGAGGGGAAGAGAGAAAGAGAGAGAGAGAGAAACATATCTTCCTTCTGCTAGTTCACTCTCCAAATGGTTGCAACAGCAAGGCGTAAGCCAGGAGCCAGGAAGTAACTACATCTGTCTCTCCCACATGGGTGCAGGGGTCAAGCACTTGGACCAATGTATGCTGCTTTCCTAGGTGCATTAGTGGCTAGTTGGATCAGAAGTGGAACAGCTGGGCCTTGAACTGGCACTCAAATGTGGGGTGCCAGTGCCTCAAGCAGTGCCTTAGCCTGCCGTGCCATAATGCCTGCCCCTTTAAGTAATTTTTTTCTGTGTTTGCAACTGTTGCTTTCCTTTTTCTGAATTTGATGTTATTTCATGTAAATGCTTTAACATTTGGGAAGTTTTCTTTTATTCAGCTGGCAAATAATTATTGCAGAGCCATGCTGTCAGCCAGACTGTATCCCAGTACTTAGACTGTGAGCTTGCCTTTCCCTTGAGAGGAGCTGATCAGTGGGTGGTTGGAAGTGTCACTTGTTAAGATGGGAACATGCTGTAATGAAGAATGCAGAGAGGAAAGTGGGAACACAGGGATGGCTCACCCAGGCTCCTGCCAGAGGGTCAGAATCTGAAGGGTAGGCAGGAATTTGCCAGGTGAGGAAGCAGGCAAAGACTGCCGCAAAGAGCTTCATTGTTTTTTGAGAAGCACCAAAGACTCTAGCTGCCTTCCGTGTCTGTGGCTTCTGCTGCATCAGTGGATTCAGCCAACCATGGACTAAGAATATTTGAAAAACAAAACAAAACTATAGTGTACTGAACTTTACAGACTTTTTTCTTGCCATTATTCCCCAAATAATACAGTACAGGTATTTACATAGTATCTGTGTGGTATTAGGTATTATAAGTAGTTGAGAGATGGTGTGATTTGAAGTTTATGGGAGGAGAGGTGTAGGTTATTTGCAAGTTTGGGTTGCAGATTGTGGTAACCTCAGGGGTCCTGGAACCAATCCCCCAAGGATACCAAGGGATAGCTACATAGTGCAGGCAATAATGTGTGAGGCCACAATAGTTACTCCAGTATCAGATGTGGCTGCCTCTAAAGGACTATTTATGTACTGTGTAGAATGAGAATTTATCTGGCAGGTTGTGGAGTTCGGTGTGTACATCTGTATTTGTGTGAAGGTAAGTGGGGACTATTTTCCCCTTTGGTTTATAAATTCATAAAATGTTGCAGTCTTTGATTTTTGTGTTCTTCATAGCTCCTTACATGTACATTAGGAGACAGATGCTCTTTTAAACTTTCTTTTAATAAGTGATTATCACACCACTATCTCTAGCATAGGTCTTTTTTGGTATTGTTGTTTTGTTTTTGGCCCTGCCTTGTTTTAATATTTTATCCTATAACATGTTTCTCCCTTTTATTCACCTCATCCTTTACATCCTAGTTTTTCTTTCTTTCCTGTGGATTCATTTTTTGGAAAAATTGTGAAAAGAAAACTTTATTCCAGGAGGATTTTGTCTGAGCTGTATTCCCTATGCCCAGTATATGTTAGCTGCTCAATGAATGGTTGTTGAAGAATCATCTTGCTTAGTGGCAGCAAGATTAGGTCCATGTTTTCAAAGAAAAATATTACTGCCTACTTTTCTACTTTGATCTCCTGTAATCTTTGCTTTCTAAGCTCCAGACACATTAAACTCCTCACCATTTCGACAATATTTTCAAATGTTTCCAATGCTTGAAATGCTCTTTCTTACTTGTGGCCAACTGCTCTACCTTCTTGCAAGTCTTACCTCTGCCTCTTTCTGGGAAAATGATTTCTGATTAACCAGATGGAATTACTCCTTCCTGTGTTTATTTTTGTGTTGAAGTCTATTCAGTTTCTAGATATGAACTTGGATAGTGTCTTTCTGTGTCTCCAGTACATGAGCCCAGTGCTTGGAGGCTTTGCTGAAAGGATGGTCTGTAGGCTGTGATAGGAAACCATGTTGTGACAAGCTGGAAGCACACCTTGAGTACATTCTATGCCAATGATGTTGAACACCTTCTTCTTAGCCTAGATTAGGCCTTTGTACAGGTGTACGTGTGATTGAGAGAGAATCTGTTTCAGAACTGCTAGACTAAAGCAACATATTTTGTAAGCTTGCAAATTTCCATTTACTTTGAAGGATTTTTAGGAGGTAACAGTATAGCCAGGTCAGCGATTTTTTTTTGTGCCAGGAATAGGAGCTTGACAGGAGGAGAGTCTAGAGGTGGTTGGTTTTTCAGGCTCCTGGGAGAGATGAGGGGTTGTGAAAAGCAATGGTAAGTAACTCGGAGAAAAGTTCCTGATGGGAGGCTCACAGGCTGTTTGGGAGAAATAACTGCTGACCTTGAATCCTGATGACCATGTTGTCTTATCTGCAGATTGCCCCAGCCATCATGGAGGTGGCTGAGGCGGAGAGTCCTCTGAACCCCAGCTGTAAGATAATGGTCTTCAGACCTTCCATGGCAGAGTTTCGGGAGTTCAACAAATACCTCGCATACATGGAGTCCAAAGGAGCACATCGAGCGGGGCTTGCAAAGGTGATTATCCTTGAAACAGAAAGCAATCACTTGGGGTGTTTAAATTATACTCAGTCTTTGTAACACAGGACATTCTTTTTTTTTTTTTTTTTTTGGACAGGCAGAGTGGACAGTGAGAGAGAGAGACAGAGAGAGAAAGGTCTTCCTTTTTGCCGTTGGTTCACCCTCCAATGGCCGCCGCTGCAGCCGGCGCACCGCGCTGATCCGATGGCAGGAGCCAGGATCCAGGTGCTTTTCCTGGTCTCCCATGGGGTGCAGGGCCCAAGCACCTGGGCCATCCTCCACTGCACTCCCTGGCCATAGCAGAGAGCTGGCCTGGAAGAGGGACAACCGGGACAGAATCCGGCGCCCTAACCGGGACTAGAACCCGGTGTGCCGGCGCCGCAAGGTGGAGGATTAGCCTATTGAGCCACGGCGCCGGCTTTCCTTTTTTTTTTTTTTTAAAGATTTTATTTATTCATTTGAGCGGTAGAGTTACAGACAGTGAGAGGAAAACAGAGAGAAAGGTGTTCCTTTTGTTGATTCACTCCCCAAATGGCTGCAACGGCCAAAGCTGCGCAGATCTGAAACCAGGATCCAGGAGCTTCTTCTGGGTCTCCCATGCGGGTGCAGGGCCCAAGCACTTGGGCCATCCTGCTTTCCCAGGCCAGGCCACAGGAGAGAGCTGGATTGGAAGAGGAGCAGCTGGGAATAGGACCAGCGACCATATGGGATGCTAGCTCCCCACAACTGGAGGATTAACCTACTGCAATTTGGAGTGGGGGGGCATTGTTTTTTTCAAAGGAAGATATTTGCAGTATCTTTGTTCTTGTTAATTGGTGTGTAGCAATTCATGTCTTCAAAGATAATTATTTTTCTTTTAACTATGTATTAATTGTGTTCTAAAACTTTTTTTTCTTTTAAGACAAAAATAAACCACTAATAACTCATAGAAACCAAAGGGATCCGATCCATGTGTGGATTTCAGAGTTTTGAGAGTATTCATAGTTGTTTTTTTTTTTTTTTTTTAAGATTTATTTATTTGTTTGAAAGTCAGAGTTACTTAGAGAGAGAGAGAGAGAGAGAAAGAAAGGTCTTCCATCTGCTGGTTCACTCACTCCCCAGCTGGCCGCAATGGCTAGAGCTGCGCTGATCTGAAGCCAGGAGCCAGGAGCTTCTTCTGGGTCTCTCACGTGTATACAGGGGCCCAAGGACTTGGGCCATCTTCTACTGCTTTCCCAGGCCATAGCAGAGAGCTGGATTGGAAGTGGAGCAGCCAGGATGTGAACTGGCGCCCATGTGGGATGCCAACACTGCAGGCGGCAGCTTTATGCACTACACCACTGTGCTGGCTCCAAGAAGAAAGGCCATAGTTTTCATTATTTGTTCATAGAGGACAGTTATTTGCCTGAAGTTTAACCACAGCTTCCCTTCCTCTCTCCCTTCTTTTAATTTTCTAGTCTCCTTTGTTTTTCATTTCCTTTTTAAAATATAACAGGTTTTTAAAGATATAATTCACATATCATATAATAAGCTTATTTAAATTGTGCAATTCAGTGATTTCTAGTTAATTCAAAATGTTGTGTAACCGTCACCATTCTATTGAAATTCATCACTCCCAGTAGATACTCTTACCCATTTAGCAGTCATATCTCATTCCCTGCCATGTGCTCCAGCACTGTTGATTTATCTAATTTCTTTTCAGTTATTTGCTCATGAAGTGTAGGGAATGCCTGCCTTATACCAGACACCATACCAAGTGCTATGGGTGTGTACATGTGGCTGTAGTGGGGACATGTCGCTCCTCCGCGGGCTCGCGGGAGAACGACACCGGACGGAACGCTGTTGTTTAAGCGAATGACTCTGCGTTGTGCGCTCAAGTTTGCTCCTGTGCTAACCACATTCTAACCGCATTCCACTTGGTGTGTGTCTGCATTCTTGTTATTCTTTCCACGCGTGGTGTGAGATGTCTGCGGAGCCTCGCGGGGTTATAAGTGAATTCCCTCGCACTGCTTCTATCTCGCCTTTATAGTCCTCTCCCACCAATCCGTGCTCTGCTGCCCGCGTGCTGAGCACGCTGCTTTCCTCCAATCAGAGGTTGGGTCAGCTCTTGCAGCTCATTAGTCAAACTGATGAAGCAGCGGAAGCTGCTGTGTAAAATTTGTTTACCCCCTCTCAGCGCCATGTTGTGGGAGCCGGGCCCTGCTTCCCACAGGGACAGGACAGACAAAATTCCTGCCTCCACAGAACTGATGTTCTAGCGGTAGTATCTTAGGGTGAGGAGATCACGGCATTTTAGGAGAGCCCAAAAACTAAAATGAAGCAAGCCTTTTAAAGGTGTGGGTACTGAAAGAGGCCAAGTTTAGAGTCCTGGAGGCTCACTTCTAAAGTTAATGTCTGGGGAGGAATAGGAAAGTGGTTAGAGGAGTTGGGGCATAGTGAGCAGGGGGAAGAGAGTTGCAAGTAAGGCAAGGAAGGGGTTAGGTGGTATCAGGCTTGTGTGGCCAGTGCAGAGCTTTGGAGGTTTTATTCCAAGGTCAAAGAGAACCACTGACAGCCATAATGGGAGAGGATGATGTGGTAGCTGTTTATTTCTTTTGCTCTCTCTGTGACATTATTTTGAACACATCACACTGCCTCCTGTGGGTGAAGAATGAATTTGGTGTGTGTTTTGGTGGTGGTGTTGCCCCCCCCCCCCCAGGACAGCAGGGGGTCTTGTTAGAAGTAGTTGTGTTTATCTACTAATGGTGGCGCAGGCCAATGAATATGGGGAGCAGTGGTCTTTGGTTTAGATGTTTGAAAGTACTCATCTTTTCTTATTCTTCTAGGTGCTAGATAATGTCTTTAAAAGTGGTGATGGTGAATTAAGAAATGTAAGCATTACTGATGATGCTCAGGTTCTTAGGGGAAGTCAGTAAGGTACTGAGGAACACACTGCATGTTTGTACTCAGGGGTGTGTAGGCGATAACAAAAAAGGGAGATAAAGGGAAAACTTTGCCAATTGAGCTATTCTTTAAGATGTTAAAGACCTGTATGTATTTGGATGGCCTAGCAGTTAAGGCATCCACATCTTATATTGGAGTACCTGGGTTCCATACCTGCCTGATTCCTGAATCCAGCATCCTACTAATGCAGTCCTTGGAAGGCAGAGGTAATGACTCAGGTAGTTGCACCATGCCACCTAAAGTGGGAGACCTGGTTGAGTGCCCATCTTTTGGCTTTGGACTCAGCCTCATCCTGTGCATAGTGTGCATTTGTGTAGTGAAGCAGCTGATGACTCCCCTTCTCTGTTTGGCTCAGATAAATAAATAAAAAGTTAAGGTTTTTTTTTTTTTTTTAAGATTTATTCTTTATTTATTATAAGGCAGACTTAAAGATAGGAGGAAATACAGAGTGAGAGAAAGATCTTCCATTTGCTGGTTCACTTCCCAGATGGCTGCAATGGCTGGGGCTAGGCTAAGCTGAAGGCAGGAGTCAGGAGCATCTTCCAGGTCTCCCATGTGGGTGCAGAGGCCCAAGGTTTGGGCCATCTTTGGCTCCCATCTCAGATGAATTAACAGTGAAATGGATTGGAAGTGGAGCACCTGGGTCTTGAATTGGTTCCCATGTGGTATGCTGGCATTGTAGGTGGAGGCTTAACCTCTTAACACTACAATGCTAGCCTCAGAGTTGCTGTTTTTAAATAAGATTTATTTATTTAACAAGTAGAGTGACAGAGAAAGAGAGAGAGAGAGAGAGAGAAAAGCTTTAGGACAATGTGTTATTTCAGAATTATTGGCACTCATAATTTGTACCATGAACTTGTAATGGGTTAGCAAGGATTTCGGCTTTATTTTGGTAGGACGTAGAAGGGTGCTGGGGTTGACTTTCTGTTTCTCTAAGCTCTGAATGCAGTCCTTTGTCCTGTTCTCTCTTTGTTTCTTGAGAAGGTACATCATACTGCGTTCCACTGAGATTGGTAAAATGTCCTGTGGTAGGCTTGTAGGGTGACATGATTAGTAACTTTAGATGATAAAGTAGCAGCCACCCTCTCAAGGGAGCTGCAGGCACATGGAGTACACCTGTGCTGCTGCCAATATTATGCAACAAAGTTAATTAGAACTATAATTACAAAACACACCTGAGTCCAGTAAACCTCACCCCCCCCCCCTTTTGAAGTGAGACTCATTGACAAAGTTAGGGAAATTCATTTATTCAACCCTATGATTATTTCTTAATACATATGTTTGAAACACAATGAACTGTTTGTTTCTAACTGTTGTTACCATATTTTACATTGAGTCACATGAATAGTTTTACCTACTTTCCCTCTTGTTCTGGAACACGCGTTAATAACTAATGCACAAAACTGTACCAGCTCAAATCATTTTCTAAAAAAAAAAAACTGCATTAATGCAACCAGTTTGCTTTGAGTGGTATCCCCTGGGAACAGAGCCATTTGTGAGATTCTTATTAATGCATTATTGACAGCATTTAATAAACTGGTCTTTGACATAGCAGGTAAAGCTGCCATTTGCAGCGCTGGCATCTCATATGGGCATGGTTTGAGTCTGAGTCCCGGCACCTCCACTTCCAGTCCAGCTCCCTGCTAATGTGCCTGGGACAGCAGCAGAAGAGACCCGAGTCCATGGGCCCCTGCACCCATGTGGGAGACCTCGAATATGTTCCTTGAGCCTGGTTTTGGACTGGTTCAGCTCTGGCCATTGTGGCCATCTGGGGAGTGAGCCAGCAGATGGAGGATCTCTCTCTCTCTCTGTAACTGTGCCTTTCAAATAAATAAATCTTTAAAAAAAATAATTTTTTTTTTTTTGACAGGCAGAGTGGACAGTGAGAGAGAGAGAGACAGAGAGAAAGGTCTTCCTTTGCCGTTGGTTCACCCTCCAATGGCCGCCCCGGCCGGAGCGGTGTGGCTGGCGCACCGCACTGATCCGAAGGCAGGAGCCAGGTGCTTCTCCTGGTCTCCCATGGGGTACAGGGCCCAAGCACTTGGGCCATCCTCCACTGCACTCCCTGGCAACAGCAGAGAGCTGGCCTGGAAGAGGGGCAACCGGGACAGAATCTGGCGCCCCAACCAGGACTAGAACCCAGTGTGCCGGCGCTGCAAGGCAGAGGATTAGCCTAGTGAGCCGCGGCGCTGGCCAGTAAATTGGTTTTAATTTATGATTAGAAGAAAATAGTGTAGTATTTCTATAGTAGTGACTTTGGCTGCAGAGTATAATCTGCTTTGGTTTTTCTCATCTCAGCATTTTTTAAGATGTATTCTTTAAATTTAACTTATTTTTATAACAAGAGAGTTCCTTTGTTTAGATGAAAAAGGTTAAGTTTTTTTTTTTTTTTGGGTTGGGGGAGTCCTTGTATGCAGACTTTTATTTCACATATTTGTTATAAAAAAAATTGTTAGTTTTCAGGACAAGAGAGCGCTCACATGGTGCAGAGATATAGGAACTAGGTACAGAACTTTACAGAGCAGAGCGACGCCTTAGTGGGAGCTGGGTTGCTTACCAGGGAGCACAGTTCCTAATGGACTGGAGAAGGAAAGAGAACCAGGTAGGGAAGGGGGAGGCTCCTGTTGCATCAGACTTCAGCTGCCATCTGGGCATGTCCTGTGGTGGTCACGGACTGTAGGCTGCTTTTGGAAGGCTTGAGTACTGCACAGGAATTCCATTTGTCTGCTTGACTATACCGCTGGCAAGAGTGCCATTAAGTCAGTGTCACTCAAGTTCTGGCCAGCCACATGCCTTCAGCAAAGAGTCCCAAACTGAGGATCAAGTTCCTCCAGAAGTCATTCCTATTGGTGGCAAAGCAGACACCCTGAAGCCAATCTCCCACATCCTCTGGGATTTCTGGAGCTTCATTCATGGGGCCAGAGGGTTCACAGTGACCCTGCTGGAAGCTCTAGCAGCACTGCAAGGTAAAGGCTTAATTTTGGAAACTTTAAAGGCCTGTGTATGTTGTGCTTAAGTCCATTTCCTGTTAAGAAAACATGATGTTTTAATACTTAATGTGTTGTACAATGTGAATTAAACTTGAATTTTAATATCACTTCATGTTAAGATTATATTTAAATAATTAAAAGATCCTTGGGACTGATGCTGTGGTGCAGCAGGTTAACGCCCTGGCCTGAAATGCCAGCATCCCACTTGGGCGCCCATTTGAGACCCGGCTACTCCACTTCAGATTCGGCTGTCTGCTATGGCCTGGAAAGGCAGTGGAAGATGGCCCAAGTCCTTGGGCCCCTGCACCCGTGTGGGAGACCCAGAAGAAGCTCCTGACTTCGGATTGGTGCGGCTCTGGCTGTTGCGGCCAATTGGGGAGTGAACCATCGGATGGAAGACTTCTTTCTCTCTCTGTCTCTCTCTCTCTGCCTCTCCTCTCTCTGTGTAACTCTGACTTTCAAATAAATAAATAAATAAATAAATCTTTTTAAAAAATTAAAAGAACCTCTAAAAGTAAAAATGTTTTAGCCATAAATCATGACTGACTTCATGACTTTGTTGCTTCTGATTTTATATATGTGTGTGTATATATATATAATATGTGTGTGTGTGTGTGTATATATATATATATATATAAATAATTTGACAGGTAGAATTATAGACAGTGAGAGAGAGACAGAGAGAAAGATCTTCCTTCCGTTGATTCACTCCCCAAATGGCCACCACAGCCAGTGTGCCGTGCCAATCCGAAGCCAGGAGTCAGGTGCTTCCTCCTGGTCTCCCATGCGGGTGCAGGGCCCAAGCACTTGGGCCATCCTCCACTGCCTTCCTGGGCCACAGCAGAGAGCTGGACTGGGAGAGGAGCAGCCGGGACTAGAGCCAGCGCCCATATGTGATGCCGGCACCACAGCAGAGGATTAACCAAGTGAGCCACGGCACCGGCCCCTGGAGAATCTATAATGTGCTTGCTTTCTGATCTGAGGAAAATAAAATTCAGGTTTTTTTTTTTAAGCTAAGAATTTTTTAAGAGATTTATTTATTTATTTTAAAAGTCAGAGTTACAGAGTAGGGGAGAGAGAGAGAGAGAGATAACTTTTTTTTTCTTTTCTTTCTTTCATTTTTTTTGACAGGCAGAGTGGACAGTGAGAGAGAGAGAGAGAAAGGTCTTCTTCTGCCGTTGGTTCACCCTCCAATGGCCGCCGCGGCTGGCGCACCGCACTGATCTGAAGTTAGGAGCCAGGTGTTTCTCCTGGTCTCCCATGGGGTACAGGGCCCAAGCACTTGGGCCATCCTCCACTGCACTCCCAGGCCACAGCAGAGAGCTGGCCTGGAAGAGGGGCAACCGGGACAGAATCCGGCGCCCTGACCGGGACTAGAACCTGGTGTGCCGGCGCTGCTAGGTGGAGGATTAGCCTATTGAGCCGTGGCGCTGGCCTCCCAGTCATGTTTTTTATGGTGTCTTATAGGTAGGTTCAGATTGGTCATTGTAGGAGAAGTTATACCAAAGAAATAGGCTATACCTGCAAATCAAGGTTTCTCCTACCTTAAGCTGTTAAACATTTAAAAAGCACACCACTGTGCTATTTGTCATATTGCATGAGATCTGTAGAGAAGATAATATTGGCTAAATAAATTTTCCTTGTTTTTCTCATTTATATAAACAGATGAACTTCTTTGGAGGAATCATGATTTATGTAAACACAATTTCATCTTCTGTTGAGAGGCAGATTAAGATAATGGCTTAATGTGAATTCTGACGTCATATTATTCCAGTTTGAATTTCGGCTTAACTAGTCTTTAGCTATTTGAACTTCAGCTATTTTAGTGTGTCTTCAAATTTTGTTTTTAAAATTGAGTGAATAATATTAATTAAAATAGTTAATGTAAGTACAGGATTTGATATAGAAAGCATCCAATAAATTTTGCTGTGAAAGAACTCATTCTCGGGCCGGTGCTGCGGCTCACTTGGCTAATCCTCTGCCTGCGGCGCCGGCACCCCGGGTCTAGTCCCGGTTGGGGCGCCGGATTCTGTCCCCGTTGCCCCTCTTCCAGGCCAGCTCTCTGCTGTGGCCAGGGAGTGCAGTGGAGGATGGCCCAAGTGCTTGGGCCCTGCACCCTCATGGGAGACCAAGAGGAAGCACCTGACTCCTTGCTTCTGATTGGCGAGGTGTGCCGGCCGTGACAGGCCATTTAGGGAGTGAACCAACGGAAGGAAGACCTTTATCTCTCACTGTCTAACTCTGCTTGTCCAAAAAAAAAAAAAAAAAAAACTCTTTCTCTTTTGTAAATCTTCAAAATTTTTTTCTTTAGAAATTTTTCAGAGATGCTGAGAATTCTTCTTTTGTAATGTATTGAGATATAAATGCTAAATTACTTTGGAATATTTTTAAGATAATATTTTATTATTTTACTTTTAGGTAATTCCTCCTAAGGAATGGAAGCCAAGACAGTGCTATGATGACATTGATAATTTGCTTATTCCAGCACCGATTCAGCAGATGGTAACAGGGCAGTCAGGATTGTTCACTCAGTATAACATCCAGAAAAAAGCCATGACTGTGAAGGAGTTCAGGCAGCTGGCCAATAGTGGCAAGTAAGTAGATTTCAGTTTGTTGTTTATGTTTCTTTCAAAGATATATATGAAGATATAAGAAAGCCAGAAGACAGAAGTTTATAATGAAAATTAGGAGTCTCTTGTACAGTTTCTCTAGTCTTCATATGACTGTTTCTGTTTTCTCTTCATGTGGTTACCTACTACACTTTAGTTTTTCTTGAAGAAATTCTCATTTTATCTCATTCTTAGTGGATATAAGTAGGTCTTTTTATCCTTTAGTTGCCATGAGTTTTTTAATTCATCTGTTTTAGGTAAATTTGTTTGTGTGACATAAGGGGTGTGTGTGTGTGTGTGTGTGTGTGTGTGTGTTATTAGATCAGTAATTTTAAATGAAAACCTTAAATAATTTGAAAGGTCATCCTTTAATCAGCTATTTATTGCTATGTAAACAATTACCCCAACCTTTTGCTGCTTTAAGCAGCTCACAATTATTGAGTGTCAGGAATCTGGGAGTGGCTTTACTGGATAATTCTAGCTCAGGTCTCCCAGGAGTTACATGCAAGATGTTGGCTGAGGCTACAGGTATCTGACTATTTGACTGTGGTGGGAAGATCCTCTACTAAGAGAGTGTTCCCTTTCTATGGGATGTTGGCTAGAATTCTCAGCTCCTTGTCACGTTGATTCTTTGTTGTTGACAGGCAGAGTGGACAGTGAGTGAGAGAGACAGAGAGAAAGGTCTTCCTTTTGCCGTTGGTTCACCCTCCAATGGCCGCCGCGGCTGGCGTGCTGCGGCCGGCGCACCGCGCTGATCTGATGGCAGGAGCCAGGTACTTATCCTGGTCTCCCATGGGGTGCAGGGCCCAAGCACTTGGGCCATCCTCCACTGCACTCCCGGGCCATAGCAGAGAGCTGGCCTGGAAGAGGGGCAACCGGGACAGAATCCGGCGCCCCGACTGGGACTAGAACCTGGTGTGCCGGCGCCACAAGGCGGAGGATTAGCCTAGGGAGCCGCGGTGCTGGCCGTCACATTGATTCTTTCTCGTGTTGTGACACCTGGCTTTTGCCAGAGCAAGTGATGCAAGAGAGTCAGAAAGATGGGAGCCACAGTATCTTTAAGTGAGCTGTGTCAGAAGTGATGCAGTCACTTCTGCCATGTTCTGTTTGTTATGAACCAGTTGCTAAGGCATCTTACACTCAAGGGGAGGAGAATGAAGTTCTTGAAAGCAGGAGTATAAAAGAATTTGAGTGTACATTTTGAGTCAAATTATTATAATTAAATTATTTTTAAGATTCTGATTCATGGTTAGGCTTCAGGTCATGCCATTCATCTGACAGAAACAAACCTAAGCAAATGAAACCTCAGAAAATGAACTTAAAAACATGGTTTTTGGGACTGGCACTGTGGCGTAACGGATAAAGCTGCTGCCTGCAGTGCGGGCATCTCATATGGGTGCTGGTTCAATTCCTGGCTGCTCCACTCCTGATCCAGCTCTCTGCTATGGCCTGGGAAAGCAGTAGAAGATGGCCCAACTCATCTTGGGCCCTGGCACCCACTTGGGAGACCTGGAAGAAACTCCTGGCTCCTGGCTTTGGATCTGTGCAGCTCTGGCCATTGTGGGCAACTGGGGAGTGACCCAGCGCATGGAAGACTTCTCTGCCTCTCCTTCTTTTACTCTGTAACTCTTAATTTAAATTAATAAATAAAAAAAACCCAACGAAACATGGTTGTCCAGATTCCCTGTGTGCATGAGATTGAGGTTAAGTCTTAGAATGAAGATGCTAGTTTTTTTAAAAAGTTAAATTTATCACATACACATGATGATACTTGAAAATCTCACTTCTGTTGGTCAGATTTCTATTGTGGAGCATTCTTGCCATTCCAAAGGAATAGGAAATTTTATATTATATTTTGAATTCTTTGGATAGACATTCAGCCTCTTATTAATAGAATGTGAAACTTTCATCATAGATTGGACTCATTACCTTTCACACTCTATTAGAGTTCTTTTCAAAGTACAATGTTATTGAAACAAAACTGCAGAGGCAGTTTCACCTGTTTACAAGTATAAACTGTTTACTGCATTCTGTACTCCATATTTATTTACTTTTAAAGAGATTTATTTATTTGAAAGTCAAGAGTTACAGAGAGAGGGAGAGATAAGGAGAGAGAGAGATTTTCCATCTGCTGCTTCACTCCCCTGATGGCTGCCTTGGCCTGGGCTGGGCCAGGCTCTGTATTCATCTTTTTGTTTTTTGAAAGGCAGAGTTAGTGAAAGAGAGATACAGAGAGAAAGGTCTTCCTTCCATTGGTTCACCCCCCAAATGGCCACTATGGCTGATGCTGCGCCGATCCGAAGCCAGGAGCCAGGTGCTTCTCCTGGTCTCCCATGCAGGTGCAGGGCCCAAGCACTTGGGCCATCCTCCACTGCACTCCCGGGCCACAGCAGAGAGCTGCACTGGAAGAGGGGCAACCAGGACAGAACTGGCACCGCAGGCGGAGGATTAGCCTAGTGAGCCATGGCACTGCCCTGTATTCATCTTTTAATACCCACTACTAGTTACATGGTTGAATGGAACCTTTGTTTGGCAACTTTGGTATTTCAAGCGATAATTTGTATGTTAAAAGTAGCCAGATTGGGGCTGGCACTGTGGTGTAGTGGGTAAAACCACTGCGTGCAGTGTAGGCCTCCCATATGGACGCCAGTTTGAGTCCCGGCTGCTCCACTTCCGATCCAGCTCTCTACTATGGCCTGGGAAAGCAGTACAAGGTGGCCCAAGTTCTTGGGCCCCTACACCTGTGTGGAAGACCCTAAAGAAGCTACTGGCTCCTGGCTTCAGATCGGCCCAGCTCCGGCCGTTGTGGCCAATTTTGGAGTGAACCAGAGGATGGAAGACCTTTCTCTCTCTCTTTCTCTCTCTCTCTCTCTCTCTCTCTCTCTCTCAATCAGTCTCTCTGTGTAACTCTGAGTTTCAAATAAATAAATAGATCTTAAAAAAAAGTAGCCAAATCATACTTAAAAAAATTAGTGGATACATTGATAACCACTACAAGTACCATAGAGGGAGTGCAAAGTAGTCTGAGATTTCCTGGGACAAGATAAAGCTTCTGTGTTTGGCACTGCAGAATGAAGCTGTTTTGTTTTGTAGATGCTGTTGTGACACAGATTTTGAAGGATTCTGAGAAACATTTTTGACATTTACAAAAATAATACATGAGTATTTTAAAATTCAGGCATTGGAGAAGCACGTAATTTTAAATCAGATGCAATCATTTATTGAATCAGTTTTGAGCAAACTGATGCAGGATTTGTGGATCAGCTGCAATTCATAGTCTGTTAGGGATGGACGTTTTAGTCAGGATTTGATAGAAGAATCAAGTGGTTCCTTTTTTTTCCAGTTTAGAATCAGGTTTATTTCAAATATTCATGCATTTTATAATTTTTTCTTAATGAACAGTGCCAAATTTTAGTGTTAGAGTTAAGGGTTTTGAAAAATTGATACTGTTTTGGCATTCAGTGATATATTCATAGTGTATGATAGCTTATTGTTTTCAAAATCCAGTGTTTCCCTAGAAGATATTTAAAAAAAAGTCTCTGCTACTTTCTTCGTGTGTGTTTTTTTTTTTTTTTTTTTTTTTTTTTTTTGACAGGCAGAGTGGACAGTGAGAGAGAGAGAGAAAGGTCTTACTTTTCTGTTGGTTCACCTGCCAATGGCCGCTGCGGCCGGCACACCGCGCTGATCCAAAGCCAGGAGCCAGGTGGTTCTCCTGGTCTCCCATGCGGGTGCAGGGCCCAAGGACTTGGGTCATCCTCCACTGCACTCCCAGGCCACAGCAGAGAGCTGGCCTGGAAGAGGGGCAACCGGGACAGAAGCCGGTGCCCCAACCGGGACTAGAACCCGGTGTGCCGGCGCTGCAAGGCAGAGGATTAGCCTACTGAGTCACGGCGCTGGCCCTCTTCGTGTTTTTAAAATTTGTTCTTTCTGAGGTCTGTGCTTAGGGGAGTAGGGGTGCACATCTGTCCTTATCAGTTGGAGTGTAGGGATATACACCTGTCCTTCCTGCCTGACTCTGGCCTCTGGTTTGATTGTTTAGTTGGTGCCTGAATTTCCTTATGGTAGTGGAGCTTACTAACAGAAGTAAGGCAAACTAATGGTTCTTTCATGCTCATTGCTTTTTTTTTTCTTTAATATTTTATTTATTTATTTGAGAGGCAGAGCTATAGACAGATAGGGAGAGTCAGAGAGAAAGGTTTTCCATTCACTAGTTTATTCCTCAAGTGGGTGCTATGACCAGAGGTGGGCCAATCTGAAGCCAAGAGCCAGGAACTTCTTTCATGTCTCCGTGCTGGTGTGGGGGCCCAAGCACTTACAGAAATAACATGGTATGGTGTTCTCTACCTTGCTTCATTTACTGTGGAAAGAATTTAACTACCTTATTATGTACTACATTTTAAAGGAAAGAATCATTAGTTATTGTATATCAGCTTGTGTTTTCAGCTAATGATGCAGCAAACATCTTGGGTGACATATCTAACACACATCTCAGTAATGTTAGAGTGAATTTCCAGAGTTACATTTTAAGGATCATGGTATACATGTTTTTTTTTTTTTTTTTTTTGACATGCAGAGTGGACAGTGAGAGAGAGAGAGACAGAGAGAAAGGTCTTACTTTTCCATTGGTTCACCTGCCAATGGCCGCTGCAGCCAGCGCACTGCGGTGATCCAAAGCCAGGAGCCAGGTGGTTCTCCTGGTCTCCCATGCAGGTGCGGGGCCCAAGCACTTGGGCCATCCTCCACTGCACTCCCGGGCCACAGCAGAGAGCTGGCCTGGAAGAGGGGCAACCGGGACAGAATCCGGCGCCCCAACCGGGACTAGAACCCGGTGTGCCGGCACTGCAGGTGGAGGAATAGCCTATTGAGCCGCAGCCCCGGCCTGTGCTATACATTTTTAAACACTTTTGCTGTGTATTGGAATATTATTCTCTAGAAAGGTCGTTCTTCTACTCTAGGTGTGTAAGAGGTTTTATTTTAATGATAACTTAAAATTTTATTTAAATGCCTACTTTCATTTACTTGAAAGGCAGATCGATATTGAGATACTGAGATATTTTTCAGCTACTGGTTCACTTCCTAAATGCTTGTGACAGCTAGAGGTTGGCCAGGCTGAAGTTAGCAGCCTGGAACTCATTCTGGGTCTCGTTTTTGAGTGGCAGGGACCCATGTACCTGAGCCATCATCTACTGTCTCCACCCCAGATGTTCATTAGCAGAAGCTGGATCAAAAGCAGAGGCAGGACTCTATCCTATGCACTCCAAAAAAGGGATGCAGGCAGACGTCTGATCTCCTCCTACCACTAATACAGTCAGAATTTAGTAGTGGCAAAGTATTTTATTTTAAATTATTTATTACTTGTTAGAAAAGCAGAGGGAGAGGGAATGAGTGAGAGAGCAAGAGTGAACAAGCTCCCATGCACCCATCTTCTCATTTACTCCTTAGATGTCTCCAATAGCTGGGGCTAACCTGGTGGGTGCTAAAGCCAGAAGGTGTGAATTCACTCCAGGCCTCCCTTGGGTGCGGCAGCAATCCATGGACATGAGATGTGTGCTGCCTCCAAGGATTACATCAATAGAAAGCTAGTGTCAGGAGCTACCCCTCAGTGTCAGAACTCACATACTCTGCTGTGAGATACGTGTCTTAATTGCTAGCTAAACGCTTACCCTCAGAGTACCTTATTTTAGTTTTACTTTTTTGGATTTGTGGTGAAGTTGTCCTTTGTCAGTTGCTTTCATCAATGATACATGCTTTACATATAAATCATTAAAATATCCTGGTAAATGGTTAAATCCCAATAAATTGTTACAGATTTTAGAAATATTTTGAAAGCTAAAATGATCTTTTTTAACTAAATTTCTGCATCTGTTGTTGATTGTTACATGAAAGTATTCTTTTCTAAAGAAAATATAGAGGATGGCGTTGTGGTGCAGTAGGCACCCATGTGGGCACCAGTTTGAGTCCTTGCTGTTCTACTTCCAATCCAGCGCCCTGCTATTGCTCCTAGGAAAGCAGCTTTTGTCCCTGCAACCCATGTGGGAGACTTAGATAGAGTTCCAGTCTCCAGGTTTTGGTCTGGTGCAGTCTCAGTTGTTGTGGCAATTAGGGGTCTGAACCAGCAGATGGAAGATCTGTATCTCTCCGTCCCTCCCTCTCTCTCTCTAACTTTGCTTTTTAAAATAATAAATAAAATAGATCCTTGAAGTTTTTTTTATTTGAAAGAGTTATAGACAGTGAAAGAGACAGACAGAAAAGTCTTTCCTCCATTGGTTCACCCCCCAAATGGCCGCAACGGCTGGAGCTGTACTGATCAGGAGCCAGGAGCCAGGAGCTTCCTCCCTGTCTTCCATGCGGGTGCAGGGGCCCAAGTACTGGCCATCCTCCACTGCCCTCTTTGGCCACAGCAGAGAGCTGGACTGGAAGAGGAGCAGCCGGGACTAGAACCTGGTGCCCGTATGGGATGCCGGCACTGCAGGCTGAGTATTAACCAAGTGAGCCATGGCGCTGGCCCCAGAAAAAGTTTTAAGAGGATTCATATATCTATGATTAATATATTGGAATGCTTACTTATTGGATTGGATGATATATGTATCTAATATTTTCATTTTGATAGGATTTTATTTAGGAAGGAATTTAAGACGAAAGTCTTAGAATTTTATTACTAACATTTGCTTTTTAAATTTATCTTTTACAGATATTGTACTCCAAGATACTTAGATTATGAAGATTTGGAGCGCAAGTACTGGAAGAACTTAACTTTTGTGGCACCTATCTATGGTGCAGATATTAATGGGAGCATATATGATGAGGTATATTTATATTCATAATGAATTTTGTAGAGGATCACCTGTTAAATTTATTACCGTTTTTCACAGTTGAAAATCAGTTATTTTGTGCTTTCGGTGATCTGTGTTTCTTCAAAGGACTAGAGGCAATTAAAGACTTATCAGTGTGATCTCCACTGTTGGGGTTTTCAAGCTGAACCCAGAGCTAACCTAACAAACACCTGAGACTGTTCAACATCAATGTAATATGTGTTTTCTGGCTGATCTAGCTATCACATTAGAAGATTTTTGAGCAGTACAAATACACTGTAAAAATGTTTGGAAAAATAGGAAATATTTTCTATTTCTTCTTATTATTTACTTTTATACATAAAATTGACATTTAAGAGGTAGAAATATTCATTACACCACCACCTTAAGACAAAAATCAGTATGTTCGAGGCCACCGTTGTGGCAAAGTGGGTTAAGCTGCAGCCTGCAACTCTGGCATCCCAAATGGGCACCAGTTTGAGTCCTAGCTGCTGCATTTCTGATCTAGCTCCTTGGGACTGTGCCTAGGAAAGCAGCAGAAGTGGCCCATGTGCCTGAGCCTCTGCCCCACATGGGAGATCTGGTAGAAGCTTTTTGACTTTTTTTTGGCTTTGGTCATCTGGAGAGTGAACCAGCAGATGGAAGATCTTTCAGTCTCTCTCTCTTCTCTCAGTGTAACTCTGATTTTCAAATAAATAAATAAATAAATCTTTAAAAACAAATAAGCAAAAAACCTAAAAGTAAGCCACAGACATCATGATAGTATACCCTTAATTATATCAGCACATGTCCTTTTATTACCAGGCATTTAATGTTTCTGTAACAATATCTAACCTCCAGTCAATATTCAAATTCTGTTAGTTTGGGGCTGTTGCTATGACGTAGCAGGTAAAGCCACCACCTCCAGTGCCAGCATACTGTATGGGTGCCGGTTCAAGTCCTGGCTGCTCCACATCCGATCCAGCTCTTTGCTATGGCCTGGGAAAGCAGTAGAGAATGGCCCAAGTTCTTGGGCTGCTGCACCCGTGTGGGAGACGCAGAGGACACTCCTGATTCTTGGCTTCGGATCGGCACAGCTTTGGCTGTTGTGGCCAACTGGGGAGTGAACCAGCAGATCGAGGACCACTCTCTCTCTGCCTCTTCTTCTCTCTCTTTCAAATAAATAAACAAGTCTTAAAAAAAAATTCTGTTAGTGTAACCAAATAACAATATAGCTGCTTGTGAACTCTGAGTTTTATATAACTGTACTCATTCAGTGTATATTCTTTGATGTCTGATCAGTTTCTTTAACATTTTATTTCATTTCTAAGCCTTTTCTGTATTGTGTAGTTATAATTCATTGATTTTCATGGCTGTGCCTAATTCTGCAGTATGAATGAGTCAAAGATCTTTTATTCTGTTAGTGTTCATTTTGCTGCTTCTTGTTTTGCTTTTATGCCCAAAACTTCTGTGAATGTTCTGCATATGTTTCCCAGGTCATAGTAGCATGCACTTCTGTTGGGTGTATACATTTGAATGGTCATAGTGCACACACATGACTAGCTTCAGAATAAAAGTTTTATCTTGTTTACTGTCTTCATAAAGCAATGCTTGTGATTTGACATTGTTCTAATACTTTTTTTTGTAGATTTTTTTTTTTCAGATTTATTTTATTTATTTTAAAGACAGGATTAGAGAGAGAGGTTGAGCCAGAGAGAGGTCTTCTGTCCGCTGGTTCACTCCTCAAATGACTGCAATGTCCAGAGCTGAGCTGATCCGAAGCCAGGAGCTAGGAGCTTCTTCCGGGTCTCCCACTGGATGCAAGGGCCCAAGAATTTGGGCCATCTTCTGCTGCTTTCCCAGGTCATACCAGAGAACTAGATCAGAAGTAGAGCAACTGGGGCTTGAACTGACACCCTTATGAGATGCCCGCACTGCAGGTTGGAGCTTTCACTCACTGTGCCATAGCACTGGCCTCGATTTATTTGTTTATTTGAGAAGCAGAGTTACAGAGAGAGGACGAGACAGACAATGGTCTTGCATGGGCTGGTTCACCCTAAAGATGGCCACAGCTGCTAGAGCTGTGCAGAGCCAAAGCTAGGTGCCAGGAGCTTCTTCAGATCTCCCAAGTAGGTGGTAAGGGTCCAAGGACTTGGGCCATCTTCTACTGCTTTCCCAGGACATAGCAGAGAGCTGGATCAGAAGCGAAACAGCTGAGTCTCGAACTGGCATCCATATGGATGCCGGCAGAGGCTTAACTTACAATGCCTCAGTGCTGGCCCCATCAGCAGAGACAGGCAGAGTTAGTGAGAGAGAGACACAGAGAGAAGGTCTTCCTTTTTCCTTTGTTTCAACCCCCCTAGTGGCCGCTATAGCTGGCGTGTGGATCCAAAGCCAGGAGCCAGGTGCTTCCTCCTGGTCTCCCATGTGGGTGCAGGGCCCAAGAACCTGGGCCATCCTCCACTGCCTTCCCGGGTCACAGCAGAGAGCTAGACTGGAAGAGGAGCAACTGGGACAGAATCTGGCGCCCCAACTAGGACTAGAATGCAGGGTGCCAGTGCCACAGGCGGAGGATTAGCCAAGTGAGCCACGGCGACGGCCAAATTCAGTGATTTGTAAATATGCAATTTTAAAACATCCTCATCATTTTCTGGTTTGTGAGAAGCCGTCATACAAGGCATAGTATTTATGGAATTTCCACAGTGTCGAGGGAGCATTTAACATGCTGAGCTGCGCTGACGTTTTCATTGCTTTTGTAGCATAAAGACAGACATGAGAAAATATTGTAAGTGCTACTAGTAAATAAAACCATTCACCCTCAAGACACCTAAATTCAAACAAATGAAAAACAATTTGCATTTTCCCTCTTGAGGTAGATAGAGAATAATAAGAGGAAAAGTACATTAAAGGAGAGTGTTGTTACCACTGTTAACTGTCAGGAACATTTGAAATCATCATAATGAATGTGTATTGATAAAGCTCATACACTGTTTTGCTGTTGAGTATATATCTTAATACCATTTAATTCTTAAGTATTTAAATTGTCCTGAGAAGTAATTTCTTGTGATATATAGCATTATTTTGAAAGGAATTGCAGTTACCAAATTATAACCCACCTTACCCCAAATTTCCAGCTACGGATACTTCCTCTAATGGATGGGAAACCATGCCCTTCTTTTTTGGTTGAAGTGAGAGTTTTTGGAAAGGATATGGAGGGCTGCAGGAGACACATTTTGTGCACTGTACAAAGATAGAGAAAGACTATGATCTTTAAGTTCATAGCCTTAGAGGGACAGAGGGCAATATGATGTGAAGAGCCTGGCCACAGAGGCAAGTGTGGGGTTCTGTGGAGTCCAGCAGAGGCACTTGGATTGAAGAATGCCTTTCTGGAGGAGAAAGAACATCCAAACTTGGCGTACGTTGCCGAGTTCCAGTGAGAGCGGAGACAGAGAATAGAAGATGAGGCAGTTGCTGGACAAATTTGAGGGCAAGTCCACATTCAGCAACGTCAGTAATTTAGCTGAAATTGGAGACTGTGTGCTGAGCAGGAGCTTGAGAAGGGTGAGTGGACCTGGAGCATCAGTTGTGTGTGTGGGTGAGAGGGGTCTGTCTGAGACCTGAGATAGGCTTGTGGGCCTGCGCTACGGTTGTATTCTGTGATACCACAGCAACTTCCTGTGCTCTGTTCCAGAGCCTGGTGTTTGTTTCTTAGCACCACTAGCCAGATCTTTAAGGAGCAGGGAAGGTGACAGTCTAAGATTTAACATGGGAATTAGGGGTGAGGATGTTCATGAAGGACTGGTCGAGAAGAATCTGCCTGTTATGAAAGGGATAAAAGCCTGAATTTCCAGAGCTTGAGTCTTGTCCCCTCTTTCATTCTTGTGCTTCTTTCAGAGCTTGATTTCCTTAGCTTATGCTAAAATGCTCAGTCAACCCTGTGGATAGTATCCTATGGCAAGAATAACAGTATCATTACTTAAGCAAGTTAGTTTTTCGTTCCAGATACAAAGACTATCAGAGTTATGGGGTGATACTGCCCAGCTTTTGGGTGAGTGATAGAGAGCATGGTTAGCTTACCCGTCCGACTTTGTTACTTGTTCATTCATTTTCTTATTATCTATGACTATTTTTGTACTACAATGGCAGAATTTATTATAACAGATAGTTATAACAGAAATTGTATCTGGTCCCTTGCAGAAAATGTTTGATAGCCCCTTTAATAGAGGTATGATGATTTGTTCTTGGAAGGAGAATGCAAATCCTTTTTGAGACAGATGGGTTATAAATAAAATTCTGAATGGTCTCATGATAATGAAGTTCGTATAATTGATGATGTTAGTTTATTGCAATGATTGAGTTGGGGTGTTTGGTTTCAGGAACCTCTTTTTTTTTTTTTTTTTTTTTTTTTAAAGGTCTTAAAGTCATCTATGGTCCTAGGTGACCTCAGATGATTCCTTGACAACAGTAGCATGAGCCTAGGAGTTGTTAGATTTGAATTGTTTTGTGTTTCCCTTAGAGGTTGTCTGTTGATAAAGGAAATTTTAATTAGCCTTTGCTAACTGTCTATACATTTAAAAAGTAAACCTGTGTGCAAAGAAACATGGTAATTTCTTTAGGAAAAAAAACACGGAGAAAAGAGGAATGACACCTAGAAAAAAAATCCTGTAACAATGTATTGGATGCTAATATTTCGCTAGGGGCAGACATTTGGAACAGTGACTAAGTCACTGCTTGACATACCATGATATGAGTCCTTGGTACTTTGTTTCTCATACAGCTTTCTGCTCAAGTGCACCCTTGGTGGCAGCAGATGATGGTTGAGTGCTTGCTTCCCTGCCACCCTTGTGGAAAACCTGGATTGAGTTCCAGGCTCATGACTTTGGGCTGGCCCTGGCTTCTGCAGGCATTTGGTAGTGAAAGATTCTATGTCTGTCTGTTTCTCTCAGCTTTATATAGAAAATGAACATTTAAAAAGTAAGAAAGACTTGGCTGAGGGAGATAGGAAAGTCGGGAGA